CGGCGGCGTCGCGCGATTGGCTCGCTCGGGCCCGGCCGGCCGGGGGCGGGGCGCGGGCCGGCCCGCGCGCGGTGGGCAGTCACGTCGCGCACGGAGCCGCGCCTGCGCAGAAGGGCGGCCGGCGGCCCCAACAGCCCTGCGAGGGAGGCCGCCTGGCGGAGGGACAGCTCCTGCCACCAAGTGAAACAGAATTATGCAGCCGCCTGTGAGCCGATGATGGTGTGCGACTGAACCGGCAGACGGGCAAAGCGCCTCCGGCCGGGCCGGGCCGGCCCTATCCCCCCGGGACTGGGGGCGAGGAGCGCCCCCTCTGGCCGGCCGGCCCCGCTTCCCCGCGACCCGCTTCGTTGTTCATTCGCTTAAAACCGTTACGTGGCGTCCTTCGCTAAGTTCCTGGACAGAGGAACAATAAAACCCACTGCATCAACATCAGTTATTTTCATTTATTTTATTTTTATTTTTCAATTTATGTCCTGCCTTTTTCCTACGAAGGGCTCAAGGCAGCTTACATCATTCTCCTCCTCCATCTCATCCCCACAACAACAACCCTGTGAGGGAGGTTGGGCTGAGAGTCTGTGACTGGCCCAGAGTCACCCAGCTGGCTCCATGGCTGAGCGGGGACTCGAACCCGGATCGCCTGAGTCCCAGTCCCACGCTCTTACCCACGACGCCACACTGAAGAACAATATAGTTAGAACCACACTGTTAGAACAATATAAAGTTGGATGGGCAAGGCTACCCCCGGTCAGATAAGATGGCTGGTGGCATCTCGCCGAAGCCGATCAAAGGTGCTCCGTGCGGCCGAGCCTGGTTCTGCCCCTGGCGGCAGTGCTGGATCCCGGCGCCCCCCCAAGCCACAAATGCGATGCCTCAGGGCGAGTGCAACCCGCTCGAGAACCGGTTGCACATCGCTCATCCAGGTGAGCATCCACTAAACAATACCCCCATCTAGTCCGGGTTGAGTAACGGTTTAGTGGCCCTCATCTAGCCCAGGCACTGATTCAGAGCAGCACCTGGATTCGATGAAAAGGGGAGCGAGGACTAGATGTCTCCTGCTGATTGATGGCGCTTCAGCCCACATGCCTGGGTGAGCTCCTCCAGTGATTTCACGGAGACGATAAACCACATGGGAGATAAAAGCCCCATGGAGCTGCACAGCATTGCTGCAGAGGCACAGAGATAATCCCCCGAAACCACCTTCTGGAATTTGCCGTCCAAGGAGGAGCGGTGCCTCTGGTCACAGACGACGTCTCCAGAAGGACACCATGGTCGAAGGCACGGAAAGCCTCGGGAAGTCCGAGAGCCAGCGGGGTCGTATTCCTCCTGTCCCGCACTTGGCAAAGGCCATCCGAGGCAGCTTCCATGCCAAACCAGACCTGAAGCCAGACTGATGGGTCTACTCTAGACCATCTGTGTCATTTCAGAGCACTTGGAGTTGACCAGCAGCCACCCTTTCAAGCCCCTTGACCAGGAAGGGGGTATTGGCCATTGGCCTATGCTCAGCGTGGGAGGTCCAGCGTGCAGTCTGGCTTTTTTTAGAAGATGTCTAATTACCATCAAGGAGAAGTTTGTGACTTCCTGCACCCAGCCTAATTTCCCGTCCTAATTAGACATAATAAGCCAGGGTGGGCAAGGGTCAAGCGCACAGGTGGTCAGCTGGACTTGGCCAAGCACTTGGACCGTATCCTCAGGCCTCAGCAACTGAGACCAGACCAGGTTGTGCTGTAAACACCCACTGACGGAACCGCATTAACTGTGGCGTTCCGTTCGTGATGGATCAGAGCAACTTTATCTTCGACGTGCCATGCAAACTCGACAGACACAGCGCGCCGCTGACGGTTTCACCGTTCCTCCCTGGCCCGGGTTGCAGCAAGCCACAAGCCACCCAGAAAAGCTCTGCTGGATGACACTGGGCAGGTGGCTGGAAGGAAAAGAGCTCCTCCTTTGCCACAGAAAAGGCCCAGTAAAGAACGCCAGCCGCTGCTTGGCCTGGTTGGCATGAGCGTTCAGGTCATCCTCCTTCTTGTTTCATTGCCCTTGACTCAACCACATACCAAGGAGTTGGCCGGACTCTGTTTGAAGGTAAGGAGGCTTGGCTGTGATCGTGCCTACTGCTCAGGTCCTCTCTGTATTCCACACAGTGACCAGGTCTCCCCTCTGCCCTGATCCACAAAAAATCAAATGGAAGTAAAACAAATCCAGTGGCCGGAGGGCACCAGGCTAGTCCAGCCTCATTCTTACCCACAGCCCAAGGCCTAGCCTGCCTGTCCTGTTTCTCACAATGCCCAGCCAGATGCCTCTGGGAGACCCGCGAGCAAGACTTGATGGCAAGAGCCCGTATTTAAACTATGCTATTCACTTCCATGAGATGCAGCAATGGCCCCTGTTGGGGGGCTGTAAAAGGCGACTGGAAAAGGTCACAGAGGAGGAGAAGGCTCTCAAGGAAAGACCAAGCCCAAAAGGGTATTTGGGGGACACCCCCTCATTTCTCTCTCCCTTTTGAGCAGGATCAGAGGGCATTGGTGGGTCAAGATTATGGGGAGGCAAAACATAGGGGGAATCCGAGTTGGGAGGGTATAGCATCTGACACATACAAAGTTCCCCCTCCTGCACTGGGGCTCTCCTCCAGTTTTACAGGTTCTCCCCATGCTTGCGATGAGAGGGGCATTGGCAAAATTGAAGGCAACCAGAAGCAGGGCATGCCATTTCTTTTACTGCAAGTATAAATGGGAGAATCGGGCTGTTCCTCCAAGTACCACTGAGGTCTTGGGAGAGGCCCCTGCGGGGGCAGAATCCCACTGAGATTGTGTAGGAGGATCTGACAGGCTGCTCTCCCAGTCCCAAAACCCTCCTTGTTAAATGAACGCTCAAGCCACGCCAAGCGAGTGACAGCTCACATCCCGGTGTGGGGGAAGACTTTGCTGGATCCCACAAGAAGCCACTTAGGGTCAAGCAAGCCATATAGCAAGCCACAGCATGTCGGGGTGGCTTAACTGCACAGCTTATAAGCCACATGGACATTCAGGTGTGGCAACATGCAAACCTCTGCAGCTTAGCATGTCATGGAAACCCAGTCTGTACGTAAGCGGTTACTGGTTTTATTTTATCGCTATAGATGCTGCTCTTTTATAAAATGTTGCTGAGCCTTCTGTTAGAAAAGAAAGACTGGTGCAGGGGAGCAAGAACCTTCGTCCCTTCTCCTAAAGTCCTTTTCCTACCTAAAGCAGAACTTGTTTAAATTGCTGCCAGAAAGGGAAAGTAGAGCGAGCAATTGCACCGCATGGTGAAGCCAAACGAAAGGGGGACCTTGAGATGCAAAGGCGGAAGCGCCCCTTGTGGCCAGATGGGTAAGCGCTTGCTTCGCACGGAGGAAGACTCCGGCGGATCCAAACAAAGGCCCGTGTTCTGCTCCCACCGAGGACAACCAGATGGCCCCCCGAAGGAGCACAAGCCGGACAGACACGCTGGAATACAGAAGTGGAAGTAGGCCAGTGCAACATGACTGGCCTTTTGCCTGCGTTACTGGAGGTGCTCTGCAGGCACATGATTATTAGCCATCCTTTGACTTCTCCATGGATCTGTTTCATCCCCCTTTAAGGCCATCCCGGTTGGAGGCTGTCATGAGATCGCATGGGAATTAATTTGCAGCTTAACTGTGCACTCCCGAATCTCCCACCTCCGAGCCTCCTGGGAAGGCTGTTTTGAGTCCTAACACTGTGAGAGAAAGCGGGAGACAAACGTGTTTCCCTCTGTGCTCTTCGCCGCAGGCATAACGGTGGGATGGATTCCTGGAAAGGACAGGGCAAGGGCGCCAGGTCTCTTCGCTGTCTGTGCATTCCTGGAAAGCACACTGCACACCCACTTCCTCCCAAACAGCCAGCCATGTCACCATCCACAGAAATACCTGTTGCTGCTCCTTTGGCATCTTAGTTCTTCTGATGCCTACCTGTCCAACCTTAGGAATACCTCCTGGCTTTCCCAATGCTGCTTCCCATCACTGACCCTCTGCCTGGATTTCCTGGTGGCTTTTCAAGTTGTCAAACAAACAAAAACCCCGTTATCGCAGGAACGGCAGAATAAATACCCAGGACCCCAGACATTCTGGAGTTACAAGCCGCCAGAGAGAAGCACAGTGTTGCTCCTCACCAACTCCACATCTGCATCCCTTCTTCGCTTTCACATGCACAGGAATCTCCACATTTCAGTATAATATCATGCATAAAACAAGTGGAAGTCATGGCAGAGCGCAAAGAATACTGAGATGGACCAGGCAATGGAATAGTCCTGCTTCTTCTGCTGCTGCCCGGCAAAGTCTGCCCAGGGAGAGAAGCGGCGCTGAGGTTTTTGTCTTGGCTGTTGCAGAAGACAACAGACCGGGATAAAAAAGATGCCACGGACCCTTCTAGCCCCCACCTCTGCTGAGACTGTTGCTAGTTCAGCTTCTTAACCGAAACCTCGTTAACGTTGTCACAGTGTGGCCAGACCATTTCCCCGTTTGGCGGCTTGTTAAAGAGGCAACGGGGTTGCAAGTCGGGCTCCCTCATTCTTGGCACATTTTCATATGCAGGTACCTCTCCATTCTGAGTATTTTTCACGCCATGTCTTTTCTTTGTCTTTTCTATTAATCAGGGTTCCAAGTGTTACATGACGCCCACAACTTTCTGTATGACTGAACCCGTAAAAAAGCATCTCATGCAGTTAACATCTTCATAATTCCTTGTGAACTGCCTACCTGCCTGCACTCGACATGCCTGAATAAACGTCTAATTTCTTTTGATTGTACACCCCCAGTGGGCCCCACCCTAGAGGAAAACGGCATTCATGCCTCACATCGTAATGGCCCTAGACTGATGCCGAACTCTTGAA